TATATAATATGTTCTTATGGATATTTCAAGGGTCAGCGTATGTAAATGCACATGACTTCATATTCATGAATATTCGATTCTAGTGACCACGAATAACGAATTCAATTCATGAATGGATATGGTTCGATTCACCGAATACGCGAGTGAATCGCAACAGCCCTACTGGACACCACACAAATAGTAATGTGTCTCATAACCTGCCATCACTGTTCCCCATCACACAGTCTCCACTACAAGTTTATTTGTTTGCTGTTTAACGCCGCACTCAGCAATATTCCATCTATATGACGGCGGCTCCACTACAAGTATCAACCACGGACAGCATGTATCCTCAAGCAGATACAATCTCCCATATCAACCCTAGTCCTTGGTCCATGAAGTGTCCCTACTTATCAGAACCTTCCATGCAGTTGTAACCCAATTTCTCCCACCAAGATGCACACCTCCTGATGCATGGAGGCAGGTGGAGCCTGTGGCTGTCGTAAGTCTATGTTGAAGTATAGAAGTTACGATCATCTTAGCACTACGATCACTTTGTGGAAAGGGGCCATGGACACTAAATGTGTTCACGTGGAACACACTGGAGTTTACATGTGAGGGGTGGATATAGTTAACCATCAGTGATAGTTGGTGGTCGAAAACCTTTGATGATGCTCTGACTCCAGTACAAATGGCCCATAAAAGTAGATGGTTGCAGGGGACAGAAGGGTTTCAGATACAGCATGGGTTTATCCCTAGTCTGTCTTACAGACCCTGATACAAATATATATCAAATACAGCCCATGCAAGTCTATAATGTTTGGCAAGTCTAGATCACTGCAGTATCTGAAAATGAAGAGAGTCACAGGGCTCCTTTTTATTATATTTTTATTAAGATAACTGAACAACTTTTTTTTATGTACGATATGTTCATTTCAGAGACTAGATGTTAGTCTAGTATATCCCATGTGGTTGCTGTTTTCATTCCAGAAAAATGTGGCCCATTAAAAACACTGTGGATGTTCAAAGATTAGTAGCAATACTATAACCGACATGTCACATTCATATCTGCCTGTCTGTTTATATTTAATTACCCCTGCCTGTCTGATTATATTTCATGCCCCATTATTTTAGAATCCGCCAACACAGACTATGGACCACCATGGCCAACTAGTATTTATAATTAGAGACAAAGGACACTAATAGTGATATGGCTTGACCTGGATGAACTTTCTGGTTGTACAAGAAGTAGAATTGTGATTATGGTTCTGGGCCCATGTTCACAAAGCAATCTTAGTGCTAGATGATTATTGTAACATACATTTAAGTAACGGAGTTACAATAAGAGCTACTATGACTTTGTGAGAGTGGACCTAGGTGTGTAGTATGGTCAGTATAGGGATGTTATGTACTATACATCCTCTATATGCCACAGGTCATCCAGAATAGCATCATAGTGTGATCAATAGTGATCTGATATGAACAAAAAGAAATGTTTTAATTGCAGTCACATCCATCAGTATCAACATGTAAATACCTCAGTGAACAGGAACAACAAGTGTGCGATTCTGCACAAGTGAATCCTAATCACTATTATTTAAGAGAGAGAAAGTACACTGCTTTTAGCAAGTTCAGCTTTATAATGAATGTCGACACCAAGAATGGTCTTCAACCACCTTGGTCCAAACTAGGACCAATGGTATAACATTACCCATCTTCCCGAGGCAAGTGAGTTAACTGGCTATAAAAGTCCAATTTCCACCCTTGCCGAACTAGGCTTGTATTATGGAGTTACATTTTGGATGGACTTACGAGTCTATGCATAGTCCAATTTAAATCGTGCAACGAAATCAAAATCCGGTTCGTTAACTGTCATGCAGTTTTGGGTCAATTGCAGGATTTGCAAAGCATGTGCACCCCCAACTCACTGTCAACAGATATTTTCTAAATCTTTTCATGTTTTTAATCAAGGTGCTTTGATGCATTTCGCAGGGTTAGACTCGTTTTATCACAATATAGATCTTGATTGTTGATCAGACGTCTTAACTGGACGCCGCCATTTTGTTTGAAGCAAATGCAAGTGATACGAGAGGTGGAATCTGATTGGTCCATAGGAGGGAGCTTGGAAGGGACGTAACTTGTAATAGCCGCAGGTGGCGCTACGATCGAGCCCAGAAATTCCAACCTTGTAACTGGTCAGTTAACTCTCTTGCTTCGAGATCATGAACATTACCAGGCGATGTTAAACTCTTCATCTAAGAAACAAATGAACATTAGGCCCTGTAGCTCACCCTTTTGGAACATTTGTTCCTCATAACTGTTGAACCAACTGTTTGGCTTGTAACTAGATTCAAATAAGGCCAAACTTTTTTTTTTACTTGCTTTACAGATCCACTGATTGAAAATGTTGCAATGGAAATAAAGTGAGAGTGGTAGCGGGAGGTGATATGGTGGGTGGGCATTATAGAGTGAGTGAGTGAGTATGGTTTTACGCCACTTTTAGCAAAATTCCAGCAATATCACGGCGGGGGACACCAGAAATGGGCTTCACACATTGTACCCATGTCAGTAATCGAACCCGGGTCTTCAGCGTGACGAGCGAACGCTTTAACCACTAGGCTACCAGCCGCCCCTGGGCATTATAGAGAAGTCATACTGAAAGCTCTCTCTAATATCGTTATTGTGGACTTGTCTTGAGACTTGTGTCACATATTTTGTGAGGTAATCTTGTTTGTCATGACAGGGTTTTTTTATTTTGAGATTATTGAGATAAAGTGAGACTGTAACCAGAGTTGGAGCAGGGTTTGATGAGCACCAAGCCGTATTTACAGAAGCATCATGAAAACCTACACATAGGACAATCTTCAAAAATTATTTCCAGAAAGGAAAAAAGGGTCTTCAGCACAATGAGCAGCTATTTTCACCATTAGGGTTCCTAAACAATGAGCTGATATTTTCACCATTAGGTTTCCCAAACAATGAGCTGATATTTTCCCCATTAGGTTTCCCAAACAATGAGCTGATATTTTCACCAATAGGGTTCCCAAACAATGAGCTGATATTTTTACCATTAGGTTTCCCAAACAATGAGCTGATATTTTCACCAATAGGGTTCCCAAACAATGAGCTGATATTTTCACCAATAGGGTTCCCAAACCATGAGCTGATATTTTCACCTTTAGGGTTCCCAAACAATGAGCTGATATTTTCACCAATAGGTTTCCCAAACAATGAGCTGATATTTTCACCAATAGGGTTCCCAAACCATGAGCTGATATTTTCACCTTTAGGGTTCCCAAACAATGAGCTGATATTTTTACCATTAGGGTTCCCAAACAATGAGCTGATATTTTCACCAATAGGGTTCCCAAACCATGAGCTGATATTTTCACCATTAGGGTTCCCAAACAATGAGCTGATATTTTCACCTTTAGGGTTCCCAAACAATGAGCTGATATTTTTACCATTAGGGTTCCCAAACAATGAGCTGATATTTTCACCAATAGGGTTCCCAAACAATGAGCTGATATTTTCACCAATAGGGTTCCCAAACAATGAGCTGATATTTTCACCACTAGGGTTCCCAAACAATGAGCTGATATTTTCACCATTAGGCTTCCACAACAATGAGCTGATATTTTTACATTAGGCTTCCCAAACAATGAGCTGATATTTTTACATTAGGCTTCCCAACTACCCTGAGTTTTATAAAACAAAGGGTTCTTATAACTAAAACAGAGGAGACCTTGTCTCATGTTATGAAAACTGACTAATAGTAACTAACCAAAAAACAGAACACCATCCCATACTTTTTACCCCAAATAACTCATTTCAGCTTGATAGCGATGTAAGAATCTACATCGAAAACTCATCAATTTGTAGAACGTCAATCAGTCAAGAAATAACTCATTTCCAAAAATGCTCTACTGCTGGTATCCAAATATGAAACAATTTACAAGAACAGACAATGACTATCATAGTCAACCAGCACTTTACCATTACAGCAATACCCACATAACCAAGGCAATTGCCCACCAACATCGATACCCACTGTCTACTACTACTAGCTTGCGGAGATGTTTATCAAGCCTGAGTGAGAAGCTGTAGTGTAGATCTGCCCTGTGGTATGGTGACACCAAATGTTTATCTGAGTGTGTGTAGCATCTCACTGCCAACATCAACATTACCTGGGGTAGCTGTATCTACTAGGTGTTGTTGTAGCATAGCTCACTGTAGATCCTGCCACTATATTGCTGAACTCTGTGTCTACAAGCCAACACTGGGCTGAGGGTAGACAGATGGCAGATACCAACTGATCTTGGTGTACAGTGAAACTTTGTATTTGTGTTTCTTATGTGTTGTGGTATGCGTCTAGTGCTGGTAATATTGTATCTGATTCTCAGAATAGACTTTAATAATGTCATACATTTTGAAATATTCTGTAAACGTCATTGGAAATCAATGTCAGTATAACAAGCAAGATGTTAGCTGCATGGTTTGTAACTATTTTTATGAATGCTGAAAAAGAATAGAGATATATTCCTAACAGACTGAGGAATCAGAGTTAGTGCCAAGATTGTAGACTAACACTTTGTCAATGAAAAAAGATTTTTTTAGAAAGAACCTTTCCCTCTTCTGCTGTGACTTGGTTTGTTTGATCTAGACTTGCGTGCGCTTTTATTAAAAAAATATACCTAAAAAATATAAATTCCACAGTCATAGTGCAGGTCTACCAAGATTGTAAAAGGCTGAGTAATTCCAGAAAACATGTCAACAGAGGAGGATGCTACAAAACGGCTCTACACATTGTACCCATGTGGGGAATCAAACCCTGGTCTTCAGCGTGACGAGGAAACGCCTAAACCACCAAGCTACCCCACCGGCATGAGGTTGGATGTATGCTGTAGTCATCATTATTACAGCTCTATCATGGCAGCCTGTCATGAGGCTTGTGGCATTGTAGCGTCTTTGAATATACCACCTTGTGGGGCTCAAGGTGAGAACAGGTCCCCGACACCTACCTGAGTCCGCTATACTGCTGATGGTGAGCAGTGTCATGTTGGTCAGTCCCTGGTCTGTGAGGTGCAGCTGCAGACACTGGTCCAGCAGCTTGAGGACGTCCTCCTCCAGGGCCTTCTCCTGCAGGGCTTCTGCAACACAAGGACATATACCAGTAAAATACAGACAGTCTATTCACTATGCAGTCTTAGCTAAGACGAATCTTAGCAACTTAAGACAGAAAATACAACTGCCATATGAGCAGTTGAGCCATTGAAGCTGTCTTAAACCTTTCGCAACATAATCTTATTTATTACACGAGTCTTAGCTGACGGGGAGCTCTTTTGTGACGGAGGTAAAATAAGCTGGGTGTTTCCGAATGATGTTATCGATTATTCAGGGAATTCCCTAGATTAAAATTTGATTTTAAATGTTTTATAAGATTGAAAACAATTAAATCGCTGTTGAAGATAAATGTTGATGTTATGATTAATGATGTAGCCTCATGTTATTGTTATGTGCAAGTGATCAATGAAGTATTTTATCGTAAAACTGTTGTTCTTTATAGACAGATATAGCAAGTTTTGAAGACTAGTATATAGAATTCAAAAGGATGATGCCGAAGGAACACGAACATCTCAATGCGAAAAATAAACACGTAAATAAGTAGCAATGATCCTAAACTTGAGACACATCGCAACACCGATTTTGTTTTCAGGGAGCATTGCATAAGCCACGTCGTAGTTGTGGGACGTTGCAAATGTGTCATATTGTTGCGATATATACGGGGATTCACATTTAACAACATTCTTTTCATTCGGTTTTTTTAAAGCGAATGAAAAGAAGGTTACCAGTGTATTGTGTCAGCTGAAAAAAGTATTCTTTAAACTTAATCTATCTCCTGTAAACACTCACTATGTACGATCTCACATCTAACAAATGGGAAACTATCTACCAGGACAAGAAATACATGCATTATATCCGAATGGCCAAATGCCAAAAAACAAATAGGTTGCCTCAAACACAAATGAACAAACATCCTTTTGCTGGACGTGAGAAGGAAATCCTGAACAGATAACAATGAAACGCATCCATCCATCTCTTCCCCCCTAAAAACATGTATACATAACGTCTTGCAACAGCAACATGGTTTAGAGCAAAAGGAATGATATGTGAATAAACCTTCCCAGGTTGTAAACCGACCTTATATCCTAAGTATCGTTTACACAACACTGAATAATAAACTTGAATTGTTTTCTTTTATATCGACAAGATGCTCATTCCATTAGACACTATAGATTTCAGACGTCGTACGCATAGTCAAAAGGAAACCACTCTCAGTCTCCATACAAATTAGCTGCCCTAAACAAGAAAAGGCCACGGCCATTGCGATTGCATGCACCTACGCAGCTGGTGTTTCAACCGAAAAAAAACAACCAAAAAGGTACATTGTTTCAACTTGAAACAACATACCTTTTTCGTTTTTTTGTGTATATATACAGTAAAAGCCGCACGATTTTGGAATATATTATTCCTGATAAAATAATAATTTCCGATACAGTTTGTTCTGACCATTGCATCAAAATTCTTTGAAGTTGAATCATTGGGTACTTTTTGACTGAATCACCGGTAGATTGTTGCGAGAACATGTGCACAGCTGTTTGCTATTTCACGAGAAAATACACATGGCAATCTTCATCTCTGCATATAAAACAATGTCTTGGAGAACAGGAAATACAATCTAAATGGTAAATCATCATGTTTAGTGAAGTTTATATCAAATTTCATATTTTTATCGACCAAGTTTGTTATACCTGTTTGTTCACCTGAATTCGCTGAAGCCAGGGATAGATCTACGAGGTGTTATGTAGCGTACAAAACACGATAAATACATAGATCTAATATATACAAAAATTTCAACCTCTCGGGATGTAGGTCAGTGTGCCTGTGGTGATTGATGTTGACCGAATTGTAAAATGTCCGGTTTGCACTATTTCAAATCAGACATTTTGCAGTCACAACCGGACAAGTCTGGCGCACAGACCGATTTCCGGATTCCCGGTTTCAAGTAACAGTTTCTATGCAATGAATATTTGCTACCATCTGCTATTGACTCGGCATATGTCAGACATAAGTCATACTCGGTAAATACATTGTTTCAGTGGCGATCAGTGGGATCTGAAAGTGCAAGTGGAAAATACTTGGTTTTGTGGTAAGAAATCATCCAGTAGAATCATACTGTCGATTTGTTTTCTTCACCATGCCGTCTTTTGGACGCCATTGTAGGCCCCAAACATTGTAAGTTTCTAAGACCCTGTCTTAATTTTTGTTGTAAACTTAGATAACTTAGCGCTAAGACAGCTTTGAGAATAGACTTACCGGTAGCTATGATTTGTTTTACATTGCACCTTAACGCAGACAACCATGATGATGAGGCGGACAAGGAATCAGCTTGGTGTTCCTCACTTAAATACCATGTGTTACTGTGAAGCACAGACTGCACAGGGGCTGACAACACCTGTCTCTGTGGCATCTGTCCACAGATCAGCTATACTACACACAACTGTTGTACAGATCACACATCACAACTGGGGTACCAGGAGTATGTGCGACACCTGCTGTGAGAGCTATAACACCTGGGGTATGAGATGTGACACATTCTATAATGGGTAGACACAGGATCCCGGAGCAAGATATAGCTGTGACATCTGGTGTATGAAATGTGTATGAACTTTGACACTGGATCCCGGAGCAAGTATCTGCTGTGACACCTCTTATAGGAGCTGGAATCAACCATATTGTGAGATGTGACACCTGCTATGAGGTCTATGTATAGCTGTAACACCTGGTGTATGAGATCCAGGAACGAGATACAGCTGTGACACCTCTTATAGGAGCTGGAGACACCAGTTATGTGAGATGTGACACCTGCTATGAGACCTATATATAGCTGTAACACCTGGTGTATGAGATCCAGGAGTGAGATACAGCTGTGACACCTCTTATAGGAGCTGGAGACATCTGTTATGTGAGATGTGACACCTGCTATGAGAGCTATATATAGCTGTAAAACCTGGTGTATGAGATCCAGGAACGAGATACAGCTGTGACACCTTAAAGGAGCTGGAGACATCTGTTATGTGAGATGTGACACCTGCTATGAGAGCTATATATAGCTGTAAAACCTGGTGTATGAGATCCAGGAGCAAGATACAGCTGTGACACTTCTGATAGGAGCTGGAGACACCCGTTATGTGAGATGTGACGCCTGCTATGAGAGCTATATATAGCTGTAACACCTGGTGTATGAGATCCAGGAGTGAGATACAGCTGTGACACCTTATAGGAGCTGGAGACACCCGTTATGTGAGATGTGACACTTGCTATGAGAGCTATATAAAGCTGTAACACCTGGTGTATGAGATCCAGGAGTGAGATACAGCTGTGACACCTTATAGGAGCTGGAGACACCCTGGAGATATGACACCTGCTATGTGAGATGTGACACCTTCTATGAGAGCTATATATAGCTGTAACACCTGGTGTATGAGATCCAGGAGTGAGATACAGCTGTGACACCTTATAGGAGCTGGAGACACCCTGGGGATATGACACCTGCTATGTGAGATGTGACACCTGCTATGAGAGCTATATAAAGCTGTAACACCTGGTGTATGAGATCCAGGAGTAAGATACAGCTGTGACACCTTATAGGAGCTGGAGACACCCTGGAGATATGACACCTGCTATGTGAGATGTGACACCTGCTATGAGAGCTATATAAAGCTGTAACACCTGGTGTATGAGATCCAGGAGTGAGATACAGCTGTGACACCTTATAGGAGCTGGAGACACCCTGGGGATATGACACCTGCTATGTGAGATGTGACACCTGCTATGAGAGCTATATAAAGCCGTAACACCTGGTGTATGAGATCCAGGAGTGAGATACAGCTGTGACACCTTATAGGAGGTGGAGACACCCTGGAGATATGACACCTGCTGAAGTAACTACAAATAGCTTTAAAACCTGCTTCAGCAGCCTTGCTGATTCTGTGACCACTTTCCCTGACAACCACTGGTTTGTTTATGCCAGACTCAATGTTAAAAGTCTGCCACACCGTAAAATTGCTGCACATCATTCACCCACTAGCTAAATCCATCCCCATCACCAACACAGCTACCTACCAACCACCACAGTAGTCATGTAAGTCAACACACACTGGCTGAGCCATCAACACAGACTGGTTTGCCAGAGCCACTCCATACAAACACACAGTGTTACCACAAGTACCACTGTATGGAAATGCAGCACAGGTAAACAAACCTGACATCCTCAGTGTCATGTGCTATTCTAATCACTGCACCCTGCACCTCCAAGCAAACACAGTGGTTGGGTTTTTTCATTATACAGACAGGCTGGAGTAGGTGTGAGAGTGGGATCCTGCTGCAGTTATCAGCTGAGCATGCATTATGTAAGTGACACCATACCTACTGCCACTGAGGGCAGCTCTCTGGTACATGCACTCAGGTAAAGTGTCGAGCTCAGCATATATATAATGACAGGGAGCGGGTATTCTGGGTCTGGGACAAAATCAGACTTGACTGCTCGTTACAAATAGCGCTGTAAAAAGCCAGTATACTTTTCTTCTTTTGGCTTGAATCACCACGGAGGAATGCCAAGGTTTATGTGAGCGTGTTTCAAGGCAGCATCCCTGTATCTAGGCATACTAAATGCTCAGTGTCAGGGTGGTGTTTGTGTAGTACTGCAGCTCCTGGACTTTACCATAGACTCAAACCTGCCATATCTACATTGATTGTTGAAGACTGCATTAAACATCACATTGGTTATCAATACCTGGGGTAAGGGGGGTATTAATACTTGGGGTAAGAAGGGTATTGATACTTGGGGTAAGGGGGTATTAATACTTGGGGTAAGAGGGGTATTGATACTTGGGGTAAGAAGGGTATTGATATTTGGGGTAAGGGGGGTATTAATACTTGTGGTAAGGGGGGTATTGATACTTGGGGTAAGAGGGGTATAAATACTTGGGGTAAGAGGGGTATTGATACTTAGGGTAAGGGGGGTATTGATACTTGGGGTCAGAGGGGTATTGATACTTGGGGTAAGAGGGGTATTGATACTTGGGGT